GAGAGTGTAAAAGCTGGCTTGAAGCTTAACATCAAAAAAACCTAAGATCTTGGCAACTGATCCCATCACTTCCTGGCAAACAGAGGGAGAAAAAATGAAAGCAAAATCAGATTTTATATTCTTGGGCTCCAAGATCATTGCAGATGGAGACTACAACAATGGCACTTGCTCTTTGGAAGGAAAGCTATGGCAAATCTCAACATCAAACTAAAAAGCAGTGACATCACCTTGCCAACAAAGGTCCATATAGTCAAAGCTATGGTTTTTCCAGTAGCAATATATATGGCTGTGAGAGTTGGATTGTAAGGAAAAGTGAGGGGCGTAGAATTGTGGTGTTTTTGAATTATGGTCCCTTGAGAGTCCTTTGAGAACCCCTTGGACAGAAAGGAGATCAAGTCAGTCAATACTTAAAGAAATTAATTCAGGCAATTTATTGGAAAGTCAAATAGTGAAGCTGAAGCTTAAATACTTTTGCCACATGATGAGAAGACAGTACTCACTGGAAAAGACTCTGATGTTGGGAAAGACTGAAGGCAAAAGGAAAAGGGGATGGCAGAGGATGAGACTGATAGATAGTGTCATGGAAGCAATGAGCATGAGTCTGGACAGATTTCAAAAGACAGAGTAGAATAGAAAGGCCTGGCATGCTAGGTCTACGGGGTCACGAAGAGCTGGACATGACTGAACAACAAGGCATCTCTCCAACTCTTAAGTTTGTCTACAGATAATACATACAACTAAGGCAGGAGTTCTTAACCTTTTTGTGTGTCATGGACTTATCTGACTGTCTGAGGAAGCCCTACTGACTCATTCTCAAAATAATGTCCTTAAATGCACAAAACAAAATACAGAGTATACAAAGAAAACCAAGAGTTAGTGAAAATAAGGATGTATTTTCCTTCCCATTCAAGTTCATGAACCCCCTGAAATCTATCCATGGGCCCAGGTTAAAAATCTCTCAACTAACGAGACCCTCTCCCTTCTTTATTATTGCAAACTCATTTATGATGTTTAATGATTTAAAGCATTCAAACATTCATTCTGACCCATGAGAGAATCCTACAAACACATTTTCATCCCTGACTGGTAGGAGCTTGGCAACAGGAGTTTAATAAGTGGACTGGATAAGGTATTCTAACCAGACTCATACACAAACATGGCATGAATTGAGTCAGCACATTAAGACTATTTGGTTGTTGCCATAGCCTGAGGATTCTTAACCTTTTTTGTGTCATAAATCCCCCCTTTGTCAGTCTGATGAAAACTACGGACTTTTCTCAGAATTATGTTTTTAAATACATAAAATAAAATACATAAGATTAAAAAGAAAACTAAAAGTAAATTGGGAAGACTTATATGAACTGATGCAAAGCAAAGTGAATAGGACCAGAACACTGCACAAAGTAACAGCAATATTGTATGATCAACTGTGAATAACTTAGCTAGTCTCAGCAATACAATGATCTGAGACAATTCTGAAGGACTTATGATGAAAAATGTTATCCACCTTCGGAGAAACAACTGATAAGAGTCTGACTGCAGATTGAAGCATACTTTTTCAACTTTATTTTTCTTGTCTTTTTTGCGGGGGAGCTATGGGTTTTTTTTTTCCACAACACAGCTAATATGGAAATGTTTTGCATGACTACACACATATGATATAAAATTGCTTACTTTCTCAAGGAAGGGGGAGGGGAGGGAGAGAATTTGGAATTCAAAATTTGGAGGAAAAAGAATGTTAAAATTGTTTTTACATTTAATTGGAAAAAAATACAAAAATTTAATAAAAAAGGAAAAAAATACTTCAAGGGACTAAAAAAACTAAAGGTGAATAAAAATAAAGATACATATATATGTGTGTGTGTGTGTGTGTGTATATATATATATACATTCCCCCCCATCATAGTTTAAAGACCCTCCCTGAAATGTGTCCACATATCCCAGGTTAATAACTTCTGATCTCTTGAACCTGATCTTTTTTTCTGGTGTTTTAACAGCCCTAACCCAACATATTAGATTTGTTGCAAACATGTTCATGACAGTGCTTTTTAAGTACATTCTGCTGTTGATTATAACATTCAAACAATCCATTTAGCCCAAGGGAGAATCCCACCCAAGCATTTTCTTCTCTGATTGATAAGAGCCAGGCAACAGGAGTTCACTCAGTGGACGGGGGTTGTCATAATAAGTCTTTTCCACAAGTATGCCATTGTTAACAGGATTTCACTGAGCCAGTGAATGAGAATGACAAAACAGCAGGCCAGAGACAAATGCCAGTAATCAGGTAGCCATTTAATTAATTAGTTTCATTATGAGGAACAGATTTGCAAATCAGGAATTCTCCTGATCAGAATTCCACCTTGATGAAGTGAAGACTGAGACTACATACATAAATCACAATGGGAAGGTGGATTACTGACAATGGTTCACTGGGCCAGAGTGGTTTCCCTTGACCAGCTCATAAATCCCACAATACTAAGGTAAAAGTGTCCTAAAGTTCTATGGGAACAGCATTGTTCAAATCTTTAGGGGTTCGTTATTTGATGGGTCACAGGACCAGAGTTCTGTGATGGGAACAGGTTCTACATCTTTGACTTCACTTCAGGTACACAGGCACGAGGATGCCAGTGATTGTGAGCCTTGTCAAAGTCTGATCATTTTAAGCTGCATTTCGAGCTCTGACTCACAAGCTGGAAAAGGCAGTTCTTGAGAATTCTAAATGATTAGTACATTCATTACACATATCATATAGATTAATATAAAAATCATAATTCCACACCATAAACAAATGGGTAAAGCACAAAGTATAAAAGGCCGATTTGGTAGCTGCATAGCATCCAGTTAAACTTTAAGAACTTAGATCAACAACAACCTGGTGAAGCCTGGCAACCCAGTGTATCCAAAGCTGACTGCTTCCCCAGGGACAGATGGCAGGTGTTTGGGAAGACAGCATGGGAATGCCAGCTGAGGACTATTCAAAAGACCACTGACCTGGAGACTAGAGCACCCCCTTTCGCCTGAGGCACCCAGTCAATCCCAGTCAGTAATCTTTTTAACTGCTCTTTCACTGTGGCCCTCATTGTCTGCACCTGGCCCACCCGAGGCTACTTGCCACCCCTAGATCCCACCCAGATCTTCTCACAGTCTTTCTGTATAAAAGTGTTGATCTTGCCCCCTTAAGTTGTTCAGATTCTTAAAATCTGGTCCACTTGTATTGGTATCACAAATAGTGCAGACTCACTAGGAATCTCGCCTACCCCAACAAGTGTTTTAATAAACTACTTGGACTGAAAGAAGGCTTGAGTAGTCGAATTCTTTTGAGGCAAACCTTCGCCCTTTGCCCTTGCATTTTGGGATTCCCAAGACCCCTAGACTGCAATAATTCCACTGTACTAAGCACATATATATTTAGTAAACATTCAATTCAATAAGCATCTAATGACCAATTAACAGCATTTATCAAGAGCCTACCACAGGATAAGTATCAGACTCTGTACTGAGAATACAAATATAAAAGTACAATAAGGAGTCTTCAAGGAGCTTACATTCTAAGTGTCAGCTACATACGAACACAACTTGCATTGTAGAGGAAACTTCCAAAGTGATTTTTAAGTGAAATTTTAAAAAATATATAAATAAAGAGCAACTCCTATATGTATATGACTATGAGAGATAAAGAATATAAAAAATAGTCCCTATACTCAGTCTTATAGTTTAGTGAAACCATGAGTAAAAATAATAAATAATAACAAAACAATGTTTAAAATAACAAAAGATATGAATAATCTTAAGACAACAAAATGTGATTACACATAGCAATACAATGATTATTTGCCAAGTGAATTGCTCAGTAAAAAAATCCTAAACTTCACAGAAGACCCCTTTGGGCTGAAGAGTAGAAAATAACAACTAAGAAGCACGTGAGGTGACAACTTAGCTGGTTAGATTTTCCTAAAGGCATTCTAGAAATCAGTAAAATCTTCACTCTGCAGATAAGAATAACTTTGGGTGCTTTATTTTTGCATCAAATAAAATGTGATACTTTAACCAATGCTTCAAAGTCACAGTAGTTTGCCCTCAATGCTTGAAGGTACCACCTTCCTCCCCTGTAAATATACAACAGTTGGGGGGGGGATTATAAAGATGATAGACCTTGGGGCTACCAAAAATAATTGCTCCATTCTGACCTAAAATGCATATCTCCTCTCAGCCTAGACTTGCTGATGATCAGTATTAACAATTTGTGAAAGAGGAATTATTTAGAATGTATTCATTCACCCAAAAGTGCACCTCAATTGGCCCATAAACAAGCAGATTAAAGTCTTGGTACCAAACTCCAAATTTTAACAAAGGGCTTCCATGCATCTGGACTGCTTGCTTACCAGCTATTTCTAATTATTTTGATTTATTATGTCAACCAGGCAAGTCTGGGCATGTCCAGTTTGGGTAACTTGGAAGCACCCTTGAGGGACTTTTGGAGAATGTCCAGATTGTCTATGATTGGGGCTACTGCTAGCCTCTTTTAATTTGCTGCCTGCATCTTTATAACCGAGAGAAGAGATTGCTTCTCTCTAGCTCACACTAATTCTACCCAGTCCCTCACTCAGGCAGAGGACATTAATCTCCACCTAAGAGAAGTGTCCCACACCAATAGGTTTTGGATTACATTTAATTTCCCTATTGTTTACAAAGCATGCACTAGGAAATGTCTTTAAATGGAAGGATTGGGGCTCAAGATTAATCTGAACACAATTTAATAGGACCTTATATCCAATGTGTATTTTTTTATTTGTCATGGTGATAACAAATTGGACCTCTGCTCTTGATTTACATGGCAAAGACAAAGATTTACTACCCAGGTTTACCACTAATCCCTACAAGACTTAAAAGATTTTTCTAAGACTTAGAGGAGACATAAACTGACCTGAGGAAAGCTGACTGCAACAAGCCTGGCAAATGGGAAACTATTATTAATCAATCAAAAAACATTTGTTACTCACCTACTGATGGTCAGACATGGTACTCAGCATTGTGGATACAAATAAAAAGAATAAAACAATCCTTCCCTTAAGGAGATGATCTATCAAAAAACTATGAGGCAAGGAACAATGCCAATAAATTGGAAACAATCCAGAAGTGGCTGCCAAGATAGTAAGCCACATGACTATGGGGCAAAGGTAAGCAGAACTGCCAAATAAGAACCCTGTGGGAGAACTGTACTGCAGTATTGCTCAAGAGTAGACCCTCCAAATGGACTATGGCAATACCAATCACCCATCTAAATTGCTACATGATCAGTTCTGTTACAGCCCATCTGAACTGCTTAAACTGATGGGCAATGGCTAATCAAGCGCACCCGTTCTTCAGTGTAACACTCCAGTTTCACCTGTATATTCAGGATCAGATGAGCCCTGGACTAAATTGTTACACTAGCAAACAAGGTCCATATTGTCTCCCTTTCCAGGAATGCCTTCACATTTCTACCCTTGAAAGGTTCTCTTCCTTCTTTGGCACTGCGGGCCTCTCAAGGCCCCCAATGCCACAGCCCACTTAGAAGTCAGTCTGTCTGGACTTTTCTTCTCCTTTTCATCTATGGTAGGGATTGTAACCCTGTTCTCCCCAGCTCCCCAAAGGATCTAGGGATAGATTTCGAAGGGTCCAAAAATTTGTTTTCCCCCCTCTATTTTGATAACTGTTTTAATATAGTTAGTTTCCTTTGTAATCAAATGTATTTTACTTTATACATTTAAAAGCATTATTCTGAGAAGGGATCCTGGCTTCTTTAGACTGACAACAGGGTCCATGACACAAAGAAAAGTTAAGAAACTCTTCTCTGTAGTATACACGTGCTGGGAGAATGCCGAGAGAATTCACAGCAAAAGGACTCAAACAGTTTTGAAAGGAGTTGGGTCAGCATCACTCTCCCAGACATACTGGCTAGAAAAGGAGCTGAAGATGGGTGGAGGAAGATGGGGCAGGGAAAGGGAAAGGGAGTGAGGGAGAGGGAGGGGGAAAGAGAAAGAGAGAAAAAAAACACATTGCCATTTAGGGGGCTTTTACCAGAAATTTTATCAGTGTGGAGAACTCCCAATTAGGGAAACTCCCTCTACTAATGTAGATAGGCAACTCATCTATAATTTACAGTCTTAAAGAGTCACCTGGGGCACTAAAAAGTTGTAATTTGAACTCTGAGTGAAAGGCCAGGTCTCCTATCAATCATACCGGTGGTATCCAATTCTTTCTGATCCTGAACTCCTATCAGTAATTTTTTTTTTCCTGGTGGGTATGCTGGGGAAGTGGCGAAGATTTCCCTAACGATGCTTGCATAGTTGCTGCTGGGGGAGTACCTAGGTCAGGATTAGGTTTTAAATGACCAAAGGGGCCAAATCCTGCCTCAGAATGGGGGAAGTTTGGGAGCTGGTAGAAACTATAAGGAAGAATGAAATGAGTGGAAAATAGAGTTGCACTGGAGACAAGCCCTCTGATTGGCTGCCATGGGACGAGTGAGATAGGACTAGTCTTCCCACCCTCTAATTGGTTGATCACAAATTCCTGGGGTCATTTCATGGGCCTCAGGAGGTCACTGACCCTACTTTGGGAATCATTGCACTGCTGGAGGCTGCTCTTAGTACCATTTTATAGATGAGAAGCCTAAGGTTCTAGAAAGTTTAAGTAACTTTGTCATGTTCAAACAAGCTAGTAAGTGTCTGAGGTGGAATTAAAACCCAGATCTTTTAACTCCAAATCCTACAATCTTTCTACTCTGTTGCACTGAGTTACAATATAGCTGTATTTATAAGCACAGACACTAGAGATGAACACGAACAGTATTTCATTACTAGACACAATTCCCTATTGCAATTATTTGGAAAATACATTAATATGGAAAACCTTATTACATGGTACCTTTCTATACTTTGGATTTAGTTCAGCTCTAGGTCAAATCATGTTCCTATGTTCATACAGATGTAAAATACATGTTTCTAATTTTAATGCAAAAAGTCTCGAATTCAGATATTAACATAGTCAACCAGCATCACAATAATAAAAGCTTCCTAATGTATTTGCCAAGTGCTCTACTCTGTCTCAATAGTTTTAACATGCCCTTTATTTTTCATGAGTATCCCAAGACAAAAATGTTGCTGCATAGTCAATCTAAAAGATGAGATGGCTCCCTTCTGCTACATAAAAGAAAGGCTAATCATTAGCACTTTCCTGCAGAAACTTTTTTTATTAAAGGCACTCAAAAAGGTCTCCTGTCAGAAAGTAAAATAATCATGCGATTATGCATTCAATTATATACTATGAATAATAATATCAAATAAGTCAGCATTTGTCAAGTGCCAACAATGTACTGGGTGTTATTCATAACATCTTGAAAGATGTCTCCTATTCTCAAGGAAAAAGAACAATATTATAATCCACTGAAGTACAAGATCTTGCTACATTTTAAAAGTAAAAAACTTGAGATCCTAATCAATTGAGAAATACTAGTCTTTTTTTTCTTCAAAATTGGAGTAAGACCAGAGGCCATCGTGTTTCCTGTCTTACAGAAAAGTTGTGTTCATTTACAATTGATATGTTTCATTTCAGAGGTAGTTTGGATTCCAGTGCTAGGTGAAATGAGCCCTGTCTAAAACATATCAAGGATTTTAGGGTGACATAATTGAGAAGAAAATTCCTTTTAAAATATGCCTATAAGCAGCTGAGAAATTGTTGCTCAATTGCCCAGAATCACTGCCAGATTTTGTAGTAGTACTAAAGTAGTTTGTAGTTTGAGATAATATGAGGGAATGACAAATAAAGTATGAAAAGGTAGAGTTCTAGATACTGCAAATAAAGAAAAGAAATAGTGTCTTCTCATAAATGATGTCTAAAACAGCAGACAAAGGCTGTGCAGAAGGCAAGCAGTACATGTTGCTCTCTTTATCTGGAAAACACTTGTTCCATTTCTGTTTATATTCTTATTGGAGTTTCCAGCTTCTCTAGATTCTCATAATACTATATATTATAATACTAAAACACCATATACTCTATACTACTATATACTATAACACCATAATCCCATTCATTTTGATTTCTAGTCATATACTGCTTTCTTTGTTACTTCACTATTTATAATTTCATTTTTTTCTCTTTTTTGGTGAGGCAATCAGGGTTAAGTGACTTGCCCAGGGTCACACAGCAAGTAAGTGTCAAGTGTCTGAGGCTAAATTTGAACTCAGGTCCTCCTGACTCCAAGGCTAGAACTCTATCCACTGCACCATCTAGCTGCCCCAATATTTTATAATTTCATTTTTTTTCAGTCACTTCACTATTTAACATGCTGTCTCTCCAACTAGATTGTGAGTTCTCTCAAGGTAGAGACAATGTTACATGAAATATTGAATATAGTGATGTAGGGGAAAGAGTATTGAATTTGGAACCAGAGGACTTGAGTCTAATTTCCAACTCTGTTGCTTAGTACCCGTGTGGCCTTGGGTAACTTAACTTCTCTAGGTCTCACTTTCTTCATATATCTATAATTAAGGAAGCAGTGCTATTTTAATTAAGGAAGTCCCTCCCCCACCAATGGATCCATCTGCTCTGGGCTTGGGTATATAATCGGAACCAGGCTAAATCTTGGGGGTATAGGACCTGGCCTCTAATAAAAGGAGATGGGCTTCCTTTTTTCTCATTCTCTTTGGCTGAGGAAGACAAGAACAAATTACCTAAAGATTACATTTTTGGCTCATTTCTATATCCTCCACAAAGTAGGAGATGGGGGAGGGAGTAAAAAAAATATTTACTATACAATATGAAACAGATATGGGACAGGTATTTTATTACTACACAGAAAAGAAATCTTAAGTACAAAAGACACAGCATGGTTTGTCTGAATGGCTTAAATGTCATTCAACAATTTAACTTATAATTAGTTATGATTTCTGAGGAGAATGATATTTAAACTTCCTCAGAACATAAAGTAGTTTGTCCAAATGTTGATTAGGCATTTTATGTTTCACCTGAGCACTGTCCAAATAATTCCCAGTACATGTCTGCTGGTAAAAATCAGCTCAATCCTCTTGTTGGTGGCTATCTTCTCTGATGAAGAAGCTTCACTTGATACCAACTAGCTCCACTCATTGGATCCATTATCTCTAAATCTCTGTAATTCACAAAGTAACCTCAAAGACTGAACCCAACCACCTCAACAATGACATGTGATTATCTATTCAGGAAAGCAAACACAAAGCAGAAAAGTCATCCAGGAGCCATGTTTGCCTAGTTAAGTCCATGCTTTGCACTGGAGTGAGAAAAAAAGCATGGCCCATGTCCCCTACCCCCATCACAAGGAATCTAGAGACAGTACCTGATTCACTGTCTTATACCAACATTCCTCAGTGATAAGTAGCACCACTCAACAAACACAGCATCTGTCTTCCTGCCACTGTCACTATGATGGGGAGACAACCAAGGAACCCCCTTGAAGTTTGCTAACCTTGGATCACCACATGGCCAGGAGCTCCTCAACTCCGACGCACCCAAATGCTGAGACACACGTCAGTCAGAAAAAAAAGGCAGGAAATATGTAGGCATGATCTTCACAATGCATGTTAATCTGTAAAATGAAGGGGTCCAAGATGCCTTCCAGTTCTAAATCTATTATCTTTAACAATGTCCTTTTATTTATTTTATATCACCTATGGCACCCAACACAATGCTATGCATATACTGGGTACTCAGTGCACGACAGTTACCATAGTGGTAGTGTCTAGAACACACAACATTGAACATATTGAACACAAATGTTCAATGACAACATTCTGATGAATTTAAGATCTAATAAGGACTCAAAATTCATTAGAGCTTCATTTCCATTCTCTGGGCTTCAGTTTCCTTTTATGCAAATAAGAGTATTAAACTAGAGTCTTTAAGGTCCCTTCCAACTCTAAATCTATGCACCTATAAATCACCCAAACGGCTAACTCATCCTTCAAGACCCAACTCAACTGCCTCCTTCTCCTTCTCTTCCCTGTTCTCGGCCAGAAGTGAGCTTTCCCTCCTGTGAAGTCTTTTTTTTCTCCTTAATTACCAAACATTTACCAAATACC